TAATCAGTTTCATGCTCGGTTGGATTCTGCAGACCTCTACCTTTGGCGAGTAGGAATCTGGACCACTGTTTAAGATGATTCCTCAAGTTGGATCTCAAGTGTTGACTGCTGTAGCACTTAAGAACTAATTGATATCTTTGAATGAATGAATGAAGAGGTGCTGAGAGATAAGGAACTGGTGACTCCAGTCAGCATTGCTTTAATCTGACTGTTTGTGCAGTGCCTGCAGGTGTAGCAGCAAGACCAGCTTTATCACAGTGTTCTGTCAGTGTGGCTCATATGTGAGGGATGTGACCGCTAGTGGCGGTGCTGGATGGCCCTCTCCGTCCAGAGGAAGATCTCTCCAGGACTCACTGTGGCAGCACTTCCCCAGAGATCTGTTGAATTCCTTCCCAATGTTCTTTTGCTCATTTTGGGAAGTAAAAAAGAATTAGAAATTGAATTTGTTGTGTTTCTATATCAGGTCAAGTAATTGAAGCCATTTCCAGGTCAAATAATTTTGTACCTGGACACCAGGTAAGAATGATGTTGCAATCTCAACATTGTTATTAAAAAGGGAGAGAAGCTTTTCCATTTTCTGAAACAGGGATGAATTGAAGTAGGACCTTGGTTGGTCTTCTGACAAATGCATGCCATTATTATTTTTATGACAAATTTTTATCATTAGCATTCATGTGGGTCTTGATTGCATATGGCTCCCTGAAAACACAAATCCCCGCTGCTGAATGCTAATGGATCCCATCCCTTTATGAACTCCAGGGAAATACAAAGGGAACACAGTGTTTGCTTGTTCTTTGTTGGTCTGCTGCCATGCTCAACATCAACTTGCACTTCTGCTTTGTTTTTTTTCTGTCACACCAGCATAGCAACTGGCTGGGAAAACATGCCTGGAAGCCGCGCTTGGTGAAGAAGGATTTAGCAAGCCTTTCCTTCCCCAAGTGGGTTGCTTAAGCTTGCAGCACAAGCTTCTAGATATAAGCAAGAGCGAGGTACTGAGAAGGCAGGCTTTGGCTAAGTCACTCCAGCTGTGCAGGGGGATGCAGAGCTAGATGGTGAATGGCAGCTCAGGGGCCATGGAGACAGTGCGAGTCTTCCAGGATGGTGAGAAGCCTATTGGGGTCTTAAAGGTGCTTGGAGTTGAGAGGGAAGGGAAGTTTCCATAATCCTGGTGGTAAGAGTTTAGCCAAGAAATCCTTGTGGAGTTGCAAGTTGGAGATCTGGGCAGAGCAGTTGGTAAACACCTGCTGATTTCTCTAGGGATAACTAAAGGCAGAGTAGTCCATTCATAATGGAGGATCCATGGAGCGGCTATACCACCCTTTACTTTCACCCCATACTCCAAAGGGTCTTTAACTGCTTTGTGTTTACCACTCCAGGTCTGTCCACAAAAAAACAAAACAAAACAAAACAAAAAAAAAAAAAAAAAAAAAACAAACCAAAACAAAAAAAATCCAAAAAAACAAAAACCAAAAAAACAAAAAAAAACAAAAGCAGCAGGTTCCTAGGAGGGCTGCAGCATACGTCGATACAGCCCTGCTGGCTGTGAAAGCAGGCGAGTGACAGGGGAGCAAAAGGTAAGATTCAGAAATGGAGAGGGAGCAGAGGGGAGCAGGATGTGGCCCCCGAGAAGTGACAAGTTGCAAAAAGTTTTATATAAAACCAAACAATAGCAGTGTTTGTGTCTTAGACCAGGTTGTCCTGTTTTAGAGCACTGAGTTTAATGAGTTACTGTGTGCATTCGCTGCAGGCAAGCTGGGAAAATAGTAACTAAGCTAGAAAATCTTGCAGAAGAACCTTTGTTACAGGACAACTGGAGGATATGGATTATTCAGATTGTTGTCTGCAGTTCAGATCCAAAGAAAACAGTTTGAGTTTTTGCTTGCTCCTCTGAACGTGTTATGTTTGTTTCACTTAGTGTCCGTTAAGTATTTTCTGTTCCTCCGATTGCTTCTGGTGGGCAGCTACTACTGAATAAATTAGGAGAGGCAATATGTGAGAAGTTGGGTTATGTTGCCATGTGATGGTTGACTCACTTGCAGAAGGAGAATAGGCCCAATTGTACAGTCTTTTTTTCCTTTCATTCTAGCACATCAGTTCACTATTTCATTGTTTTTTACTGTAGCCTGCTCAGTATATAGAAAGAGTGACTTCTGTGACTGTCAAAACAGACTTACAGCATCACATGGCAAAAAAGTGTCATTTTTATTGTAAACTCTGCTGTTTTGAACATTGCTTATAAGGAAAAATACCATTATAGAGTTTGTTTATTGTAAACTCTGCTTAGAACATTGCTTATAAGGAAAAATACCATGTGCACACAGTACGGTGAAACGCTAAGCCAGCAGTGAAATTCCGACGTGTAGGTGTGTGTGTGTGAGGTGTGTTTCCCCACACCTGCTCCATTCAAACAATGTGGGCAAATGCAAATAAATAAAAATTCTGACTTCAGAAGGAAAACGGCGCGTGTGACCAACATGCTTATGGGGCAGTCCTACCCAATGGTCACTGTACTAACTTTCATACTGTATTTAAGTTTTGTGGACTACATTCTCATGTTAAGAGGGGGATATTTGGGTGGGGAAACATAGAGCAAACACTGAGAAAACTATTCCCTTTGGTGGAGCATGGGAAGCTTTTAGATCCGTTAAAGGAAAAAAAAATGTCCACAAAGAAAAAGGGAAAATGATTTCCGGTACCTGCTGTGTATAGGGCCAGAAATGATGGGGTTGCATTTCTGCAAGAGAGATCTACATCTGGCTCTGTGGGAGCTGGGCCTGGGCACAGGTGGCATGAGGAGGCAATCCTCCAGGTTGTGTAAATTTAAAAATAAAAAAAGATTTTATTCTTTTATGCCCACAGTGGCAAGATATTACTCTAACAGAGACATAGGAGTCGGTCAGGAAAGGAATGGAAATGAAAGGCACGAGTTGGTGTAATTCTTTTGGAGTAAATCGGGACAGAGGAATATCAGATAGTCAGGGAATTATTTTGAGAAATTTCATCTTAAGAGTAGATTTTCTGAAAATGTGGTCATTTTTTTGCAACAAACTTGGAGTCAATAAGTTTTTCTTTCACCTTAAGCACCAAACTCCATTATCTAGTGTTCATGCTGCTGACAAGTATTAGAGCAAGGCTTGTCACTGATATTGGTTGCTGATACTAAAACACTTTTGTTGGCACACAGAGTTGATTGATCATCTCTTCCTCCTTCAGATCAGATTAGGGACATTTAACTCTTCCTCCTCTAGACATTGCTCCTTCAGATCAGATTAGGGACATTTACTATAGGACTGCTTGAATGCTGGCTTCATGTTTGAAGTCTTATCCCTCTCTCTTATTTTTGCTGCTGTCACTGAAACCTTCATGTCAGCCCTCAAGAAAAGCACATCCCCTCTTGCTCCAGAGTTGGGGAGAGTGTGTGCAAAGCTTAGGCTTGAGGTGTCCTGAAGGCACCGCCGCATGTTGCAGCATTTCTTTTGCAGAACAGGACCTTTAATGCACCCTTCTTTTCCAGGTGGCTGGAGGCAAAGTAAAGAAACCAGGCAAACGGGGTCGCAAACCAGCCAAGATAGACCTGAAGGCCAAGCTTGAAAGGAGTCGTCAGAGCGCGCGAGAGTGCAGAGCCAGGAAGAAGCTGAGGTACCAGTACCTGGAAGAGCTGGTGTCGAGCAGAGAGCGAGCCATCTGCGCGCTCCGCGAGGAGCTCGAGATGGTGAGAAACCACCACGGTGCCTCATCCTCGGTTTCAGCTGGGCCTGGTTTGGGCTCCTGGGAACGTTTTGTCCTTGAAATCACTGTGACTAAAATGAGAGTAGGTTTTGGCTATAAGGTACTAAAATATTATTAACAGATGCACTCAGCTGCTTGCCTGCTTTGCATGCTGAAAATGAACTGTGTGCTACAAGTTATATTCCAGTATTGAACAGGAGGTAAACAGAGTGCCAGCAGTGCATGCAAATCTGTTGTCTCTGAAATCTTTGCTTTGGAAAGCCTCTGGCAGGGAGAGGAGGTAGAGGATGGAGAGAGATGTGTTAAAAGAACAGTGGGGAGGTGCACCCATGGTTTGCCAGTGCTTCCCACTGACCTTTGTCTTTGTACGGGAGGATCAATTTTGAAGCTCGCTGCATTGACATGCGGTTGCCCAGCTGTGCAGTGTTGACAGTGTGCATAAAAGGGGTGCCAGATAAACTGCATTTGCAAAAGAGTGTTTTGTCCTGACACACCAGCTCATCTCCTCAAGTGGTGGGCACCACTGGAATTGAGTGCACTTCTTTGACCTTGCACTAGGTTTGTTTGAAGGGGTGTAGGGCTGGTTACTGCAGATGAATAGGGGTAGGGTGGATGTTGGGGCATCCGGCGTTGCAGTGCAGCTCAAGGTTTGCCAGTGAAGAAATAAAAATGCTGGAGCTCAGAGTACGTCCTTCTACAATTAGAAAGCCCTTCTACAATTAGAAAGGACCTTTCGGCAGTCAGGCCCAGGGTCATGTGAAATAGTTGTTTTTAACAGGCCATGGCCTGGAACGGGATTCTGGCATGCCACGAGCAAGGAAATGCACAGCATGTTCTGTGTTGTTTAATAAGCACAGCGTTGTGCCTGGCACTGCCACTGAGCACCAGTTTGCTGGCTGGAAGGGGCTTTTGGAGGCCAGGTATGCAACCGTGTCCCTCGCTCGTTTGTGCCCTGCAGTTTTGAGTGAGGCTTCAGCCCAGGAAAGCCAAACTTGAAGTGAACGTACCGGGAGGCAAAGATTGCAGCGCTCATTTTGTCTGCTGGTGTGAGCCTGGCAGCTTGCTAATGGCTAATGTGTTTGCATATTTCAGTACAAGCAGTGGTGCATGGCAATGGACCAAGGGAAAATCCCCTCTGAAATAAAAGCACTGCTTACTGGAGAGGAGCAGGGCAGAGCACAACAGAACTCGGCCAAACTTGCCAAGACCGGGAAGACAGACGCAAACAGCAGCACTCCCTGTAAGTATCCAGCCTATGATTAATTCCTGTTTTGTTGCGTTTTTTGGGATGTAGGAGGATGATTGTGGTGTAGGAAGAAACATAAGGATGTGCTCCTGTGCACAAGTAGTTGATCGAAGAGAAGGACTTGGCGGGTGGTACGAAGACTTTGTAATGTTTACAGGGACAACACAGAAATTACACTAGTTAGGAAGGTGGGCAGTTATTTTAAAGTAAGACTCAACTGTTATGCTTCACTGTGGCCTCTGAGATCTTATTTTTTTTCCTGCAGTTTCTGTTTTCCTAATGGAAAAGGAATACACAAATTATAACTGAATTTTTAAAGCTTCATCAAGAAAACATTATTCTAGTTGTAAGGCCTCAAAAGTGAGAAATGCTGGACTTAGGATATGCTATGAATTTTTTTTTCCGCTGTCTGTTTTGCGCTTGTCCAGGGAGTGGAATAAGATTCTTTTGGGAGATTGAAAAATGAAAAGATGGTATGATGCAAAGTCATTTTCCTGGTACATATGTGCAAAGGGTTAGGGTAACACAGGCAATTCAAAATGTCACATCTTCTGATTTTGAAACACTTCACTATACAGGTTGAATTATGCTTTGTTATAATTTCTGAAGTATGAAATCTTACCTTTGTATTTTTAAGAAGCAATGTGAAAGCCATATTTGTAACTGTGACAATCTTCCCCTTTGGTGTGTTATTCCCAGGAGTCGAATGCAGAAGCGTGAGCGCTGCAGGACAGAGCACTTGGTGGCCAGCAGGCGAAAGCTGTTACCAGAGAAGCACATGGGCCCCTTGGTGCAGGGGGAAGGATCCCAGGCTGTGTCTTCTCTTTGCTCCTCCCCACGTGAAGCTCTTTGACTGTGGTGTTTCGAAGCCCGCACAGAGTGGGGCTTTTGGGGTCGTAGATGTTTGTAAGAGTGGAGCCTTGTTCTTCTTGTCTCTGCCCCTTCCTCCCCAAACACAACTATGGCAGCTTTTTGGCATTCCCAGTAACAGGCAGGGGCTGCTCTCGTGTCAAAAGCCTGAGCCCAGAATTAGACTGCCTCTTTGGTCAGCAGTTCTGTGGTCAGCAGTTGTGTGGTCAGTAACTACTGCGGGAGGGCGAGAGGTTCTGTAAAGCAAAAATGGAAGGAAGATCCTGTCACAGCTTTGGTAAAGTGGAGTACTGTAGGTCAAGGGAAAGGCACTTTTTGGACTCTCTCACTCAATATTCTTAAGCTTTCAGTAAGAGGGTTTGTAGAAATGTAATTTGTAAACTAAATAAAAAAGTACTTTCAGCATCCTTTTATAAAGTGGCATGTGTTTAATGATATTAGTGCTCTTAAAGAGAGGCACTAGATATATTCCCTGCTTTTGTGCATATTTCCATTGCAGAATGAATTTCCTGTCTATACCTCTAGTATATAGTTAAGGCATCTCCATTCCCACTTCCGGCAGTGGAAGAACTGCTGTCTACTCCCACCCATCATGCCCAGCTATTTTTCTGTACACAGCTACATTTGGGACCTGTTTTCTTCCTGGGACTTGGTATAAACTCTGCTTATTTGCCTGATTTCTCAGCCAAAGTATTCGTCCCAACCCCAAGAACTAGTAATGAGGAAAATGCTGAGTCAGTTCAGCCTTGTGATAAGAGAAGAGATGGCAAAAGCCTTGTGGCTGAAACTGAATATTTCCCCAAGGTACTGATAGATAACCTGCCATTTCCTTTAGACTGCACCACCACCCAGTCGATGCATTTTTGCATGTAGCTGATGCAGTATGAAGAAGTGAAGCTCTTGGGATTTTCAGTGGGGTTTTTGCTTGCTTGTCCTTTGTTTTGTTTGTGACAATGTCTTTCTCTGTATTTTAGGAAATGCGTGGAACGGTTTTCAATCTTGTGTTTTCTTCTTTGTTTCATAGAAAAAATATAACAAATGATTGCTAGACTTGAGTGTTGCATTCTTTTTATTGAAAGAACAATCTGCTTAGAATTATCTCAACTCAGGATTTGTTGATGGCACTGAAAATAATAAAGCGCTATTTTCAGCGTATGGCATGGTTATTGTCATAGTAATACTGACTCTCTATATTAATCCTCAAAACAGGATTTTAAGTTCACTCTACAGCCCCTCCACATTTGCTCTTAGCTAACAAGTGCTGAAAATATTGTGTATACATAGAAAACTATTCTGAAAGGTTAAGTAGCATTCAAGTCCAGATAAACAGGATCTGAGGGTTCCCCTCCCGCACATTTTAAGCTCTGAACTGTAGTTTTTCCTGAAAGATAGTAACCGAGCCAAGCTGTAAGTGAATATCTGTTAAACCATGCTGACTACTTGCCTGACCTTCTCCTGTGTTCCCTGGAGAAAAAATCTAAGCCAGATATTCAGAACTATGTGCACCTTGCAGTTGAACTTTGTAGCATTGTCGTGCTGCGAATGTAATGTGGTATTTTCAGTCTTACCAATTAGACTTGCACAGTGCCTCTAGTTTCAGATGTAAGCTATGTGTGGCAACTGAATGAGTACTTTAAAGCTTGTATATATACCTAAACACTTCCAAGTCAGGGGTATAGGGGTATAGAAAATGCATAGAGGTGTGGTCGCATTCATGAGCAGGAAAATTTTACTCTGCACTACTTTTTTTTTTTGTGTGTGTGTGTGTGTGTGCGTGTTCTACTTCTGTGCTACCACATGGGGAATTCGTAAGTGATTAAGTTTTCTTTTAAGAAGAAAACAGGGAGTTGGATTTTCCCGTTGTGCTGAGCGTTGATTTTCATCTATTTCTCACCATGGTGGCCACTGCTGCCTGGCTTAGCCCACAGCTAGCATTACAAGATTGTGTTCAGCAAGCCCAGCTCTGTGGCATAACTGGTGGCAACGATTGTCTAACAGGTGTATTTTTTGCTTTTCATTTTTAAAAAAACCAAAACAACAGATTTTCATTTTCCTTTTTTTCTCAAAAAAAAAGAAGTTGTGGAAGCTTTGAAAAATTAGCCCTGCTTTTTGTCTGTCTGTTTGGTTGGGTTTTTTTGTGTGTGTGTGTCTACCTGTAGCTCACAAGTGGGTTAAATCAATTCTAGTGCCAACATTAACCACTACATCGTGGTTCTTGAATATGCTCTCTATGTATTAGACTGGGAAATGCTGGCATTCTTACCTAAGCTGCAGTTGACAAGTATTCTGATAATAAACTAAGATTTTTCATCTGTAAGAAGAGACCACAAGTGGATTATAACCTGTGTTTTCATAATCTAGGATGTTTGATATGAATCAAACAAAAATGATTTCAAAATGAATAGGTCAGCTAGATGTGGAAGTTGTTTTTCTTCCATACTTTCATGACATCTTTGAAAATATATTTTGATAGGGTTACATGCAATGCTGGCAACAGCAAGAGATGTATATTCCTCTGGTGGCTCATGCCAGCAGTGTCCTCCAATTTCATCATCTTCTTGCATTTTCCAAATTTCTGCTGCTCTGAAAACAATTATTTCCTTCTCCCCATGAAACACTGATCCTGTTGTGTTTGTAGGTTTGTGTTTTCCGTTTTGAATTTTTGTGCTTTTTTTTTTCTTGCCCCTAGAGCTCTACTTTGAAATCTCAGTCTTCTGTAAAGTATTCTGTAACTCTCCTTTCTTCCCCAAGTGGCCTTGCAGCTATTTTTAGAAGGTGTCAAGGGTTCCTTTTACAGAGGATTACATAAAAATATGAGTTATTCTATTTTTGTCTGTACCCCAATCTCCTGTTTACACTAAATCCACCTTCCGTATATTAAAGTCTCAGCAAGTACCCCTTCTGCACTGCAAGCTTTTTCAAAAAATATTTCTTTAAAATTCCAAGTAGCCCAGTGTTTTGCTCAGTGACAAGAGTTTGAAAATAAAGGGGTAAATTCCACTTAGACTTGCATAACTGAAACATCTGCTATGATGCTAAGGAGAAATTCATTTGTGAGAGAATATTCTGGCCAAAATGCTTATCTGTGTCATGAATGTTAGTCAGTAGCTTCATCAAAGTAAATCGGACCATGCTGTTAGTTTTTGTGTTTAAAATTCTAATCCTGTTTGGGATCATATTTGGAGCACATGGGAAGTGGGTTTTGACTAGGTCCGTGAGAAGAGCTTCTGATAAATTTTTTTGTAAACCTTCACAACATGGTTTATTACTCATCCTGCAGGGATCGCTTTTTGAGAACAGAGCCTTTATCATTCTCACTTCAGCGAGCCGTATTTTTCTAATTCCTAAGGTTTACTGTCTCCAGAGCCATTAACCTTTTAATGCTAATACACCCAGTGAACTGATGTGGGTTGCTGCAGGTGTTTGAGAAATAACCAATGGACTACTTCAGCTTTCTGCATTTATGTGGTCTTGTGCATTTTTGAAGTAGTTGCTTAGTGTTATATAGCAACTACTATGGAAGCAGTTGCTTAATGCTGCCAGAGGAGTAGCATTGTTAAAAGAGCTCGTACTGTCTACGTGTACTGGGAGATAAAAAACAAAAACAACATAGAAAGGAGACTCACAGCTGGAAAAAAAAATGGCAAAGGTCATCTGATTTAATTTCTCTCATGAAATTCTCAAGGAAAAAGCACAGATTCACTTCTGTGGCCATAATAAAAAAACTGTAGGCAGAATGATGAATGAGCTCTTGTGATAGCTTGCTTTCACTCTACATTTTTTTCTGAATTATGCTCTGAATATTTGACTTATTTCATGCAAACATGAAATAAGTCAAATAAACAAAATGGGTATGCATGTTATTGACACAACCTTTCCTTTGTCTATCCGACTTTCTATCTGTAACCTTAAATTACCCCTGCTAGCATGGATTGTAACAAGATTCTTTCTGCTACTGCAAAGCTTAATTTTCACTTTCTTTACTAGTATATAACTGATTTCACTGAGAATTTTTTAAATTGGTAATTGCAAGTTAATGAGGAAGGATGGAGAGAAGTGAAGGGACTGTCAAGGCTGCTTCTAAGCATTGGACTGCCTTTCTATCATGCTCCATTTGAAGCTCTCCATAAAGAAGGTAAGAGTAGAACAGAGGACCAGAGCTACTGTACTCCCATTTCTTTTCTGTTATGGAGATCTGATATGGAACTTTCCAAGGTGCACTGGTGACGGTGGTGGTGTACCAGGTTTGCCATAGCAAGGAGCAGAGAAAACACAGCAAATGGTATTTCTCTTGTGGGGATTAGGCTACAAGAGAGAATCAAGTGTGAGGCCTGTGCCTTCCAGCAATCGTTTGTCCTCTTCTGTGAACTCCTCTTCTGTCTTCCAAAGAGAAAAACAAATCTTGAGCTGTTTTTCAGTGAACTGAAACTTCAGCAGAAGAATTAGCTTGAAACTAGAGTTTCAAGCTCTCCCTCTGCCTGGACTCCATTCTTATCTCTCTCACTCAAAAGTTTCTTTTCAAGAAGTGTCATTTTGGCTTCCTCCTTTGAAGATTAAAATATGGTTGCTTGAGTCAGAGAACTTTTCCAGTATTGTTAGAGCCACTGAAGGACTGTAAGCACACACTCATTTCAGCTTGGAGCGGACAGGATCCATTTGGAGTCAATTTTGTTTCTCATCTGAAAGGAACTTATTAAACTCATCTTATCTGATAACTTTTGGCCCTACCCTTAAATGATACAGAAGCTCACAGATCACTGTTTTATGCTTTACTTTTTTTTTCTTTTCTCTTTCCTTTAATAATGACAATATATCATGTAATACTTGTGCAGATTTTGCTCTGAAAACTCAATGCTTTCTGCCCT